GCAGACTCCTGAGCACATGCTCCTGAGCTGCAAGTGGCTGAACACAGACCGGAAAATCCTGCAGGACAGTCTTGGGAAGGTACAGCTGACTCTCCCTCTCCTCCTCCACACCAAGCAAGGCATCAAGGCCACCTTGGACTTCATCAGCAGGACCAAGGTTGGCACAAGGAGGTGGCATCTTGGGCAGTCTTCAGAAGACCTGGCATAGGCATGCTACACCAGCTTCTCTTTCCTTTGTTTGTTTGTTTTGTACTTCTTTTGTTTCCAGCATCTTTGCACTGGGCCTGAGCCCTCACCATCCCTTGTACCCCTATTGACCCCACACTCCTGTAACTAAATCTTTGCATTACCAGAGGAGCTATACCCTCCAATTAATCAATCAATCAATCAATCAACAGGCGCTCTTGAAGAGGGAGGATAGTTGTAAGGAGGTGCCTTGCACTATGCCTATATATTAGATGCAGAGCCTAATATCAGCCATTGTGCTGATATTGATGTACTTTTTGGCCATATCGCACAATGGAGCTCTGCATTGTTACGGCTCGCCTCTTATCACAATTACACTGACTTAGGACGTTAAACAAGCTAATCAATCAATCAACCATTCAATCAATTATTCAATTGACTAATCAGTCAGTCCACATCATCGTTTCATCCAGCTATTTCTCTTGTCCAGTTCGTTCCCTATTCCCCTTCTCCGCCTTCTCTTTCTCCTCTTCATTTCTAATCCACCGCCGAAACGCAATCGTCATCAATCCGCCAATTCCGACCTGGAACGCCTGGAAGATGATAGCAGGGATCTGCATCTTCGACTGCTCAATCGGACTGATATTGATGTACATGACGCTCGTCAGCGGAACAACCATAGCCAGCGCCTTCGCCGGGCAGCAGTAACAACACGCAATAACGTCTTTCTTCGGGAGCCAGATTATGCTGGCAGTGAAGCAGAGGGCGGTCCATATAAAATACAGCGCCATGCAAATAAAGACGATGAAGATGATGTTGCTCTTCTTGACCGATTCGAAAGCGTGCGACTGGAACGCTTGGTCGAAGGTCTGCCATACCAGGGTGAGCAGCGCCACGCTCGAGAGCTTTATGAGTTTCCACTCGACAAAGACTTTTTTGCAAGCTTGTGGGGAAAAGTGCTGCACTACTTGTCCCACAGCCATGGGGAGGAAGAGCGAGAGCCCGAGTTGCATGAACACACGTCTGTAGATCTCGCCATACCCGCTGCCCTTCTCGAGGACCTGGCTGTACCACGCGCCAGAGCTGAGGTACATCTGCACGATAATCGGGCTAAGGAACGGACACAAGAACTGCCCGATAACGCTCTGCACGACTGTGAGCGCCGTGTTTCCATGCGCCTGCCTTGTCATGACGACGTTACTACTCATCGTCGTCGGCGCGCTCCCCACAAACAAAAACCCAATCAGCAGCCACGGATCCATAAACTTGGGGTTCGTCGCGCACAAGCTCACAATGGCGAAGGTTGCAGCCGAGCAGACGAGGTAGCATTGCAGTTGGACGAAGAAGTGCAGTTTCCAGCGCATGTAGTTCTCGATGAGCAGCCGGGTGGGCAGCGTGCAGCCGTTGATGAAGAAGATGACAGAGACGGACAGGTAGGTTATGACGGTTCTCTTCATTCGCTGTTGTGAAGCTGGCACCTGCACCTGGGATGAGATGAGAATGATGATGGACATGGCGAGGAGGAACCATTGATCTTTGAGAAACCAGAGTAGCCAATGAGTAAGGGTCGTAAGTTTGGAAGATTTGGACGTAGTCTTGCTTTGGCCTTTGTGTACGTCTTGTGTTTCTGGAGGTGGCGAGGGCGTCTGCTCCAGTCCGTCCTCCATCTCTTTCAGGTTCATGAGATCCTTACCAGTCGTATCAACAATGCCATCTTCCGGGTCAAGTTGGTGAATGCCATCTTTCGGCGACTTCTCTGACGCGGCTATCATTGCTGCTGTATCTGGTCTTCGCAGTAGGTCGCACTGTGCTAGTGCTGGTGGCGTGTCTTAGCTTGGAGAAGCAGCATGGAGAAGCAGCAGAGGGACGGTGATAAAATAGTGTGCGGTTATATGGCGGTTATAACCAAGAGTCACGATGCAGATGATGCTGTTGCTCTGGCCTATCATGAGGCTCGTCTGACCGGATAAGGCGTCAATGACGCAGGGCGCTCCCGCGGGAGTGCCGGAAAAGTATTACAACGGCAAGGATGTACAAACAATTCCTTTAACTTAGGATTTGGCGTGATCAAGAACGACAGTTCTTGAATGCCGCTGTATGTAGACATTGAAGAGGTGACACTGCAGCCGCCAAAAAAGCCAAGCCTAGTGACACCTCGTGTTCTCCGCAGCGGGGCCATCTCGTGCACCAACCACCACACCACACAATGCCATCCCGCGTCCCATAAGGCGTCCTGCCTCACGCACTCCCGTTTCTGACTGTAATACCGCGAAAACACCTCCATAGCCGTTATGACCGTCCCTACATCCTCTGACTCGCCCCGCAAGCTGCTTTGGGCAGGTGTCTACCAGCAGCTGCTCCGCCACGCGCTGCCCGACTCGCGCTTCAATTACGATTTCCTCAAATTCACGCCCGACTTTCGCGGCTCGGAGGACGCGGTCGCACGCATCGTCGACTTACGGTGTTATAAGGATGCGAAGACGATACTCGTCACGAGCGACAACAGCCTCGAGGGCTTGCGGTACAGGGCGTTGAAGGATGGCAAGAGGGTGCTGGTGGGCACGTATAGGCTGCGGAGGGGCTTTGTGCTGCTAGATCCTAAGAGTATAGGGGAGAGCAAGTTGAAGCTTGCAGCGTGTCTGGATGGCATGGAGAGACCTGGGATAGGGCGGAAGGTAGCGCTGGCGCAGCTGAAAGATGACGGATACAAGATCGACATTTGTGCGCTGGGCGGGCTGGTGCTTAACGAGCAGGGTGTCATTGTATGGGAGGGCTCGGCATTGTTCGAGGTGCAGTGGGCGTTGCTGCAGGACCTAAAGGTGCTTGACGCTGCGGCACCGGTCGTTGCTGTTGCGCATGAGTGTCAAGTCGTCGACGAGGCGCAGTATGGGCTGGATACGATCAAGCCTGACAAGAACGGCGAAGTGCAATGTGACTTCGTAGTCACATCTGAGCGAGTGCTTGAGGTCAAGGGCGCCGTAAAGCCCATGGGTGGAGTTGACTTCAAGAAGGTGGATTCGGAGGCGTTGAACAACATTCCGCCGCTGCAAGAGCTCAAGGGCATACGCATGATGGAGCAGATCATGTCAAGTTCCGGCTTTGGGGCAAAGGAGGAGAAGAAAGAAGAGCGCAAAACACCATCTGCGGAAGAACAGATGGGAATTGACATTGTTGAGCGACTGATGAAGGGTCTGAAAAGCTGAGATGCGAACGAACATACAAGAGAAATTCTAACGCCACCGCTATGCAGAAAAGTATGATCACCACGATATATACAGCATGACACGAGCAGGCCACAGTATCATCGTGCCGCCTCCTCGTCGACAGCACAGCTCAGCCGAGTCACCTTCACCAGCCTGCCGCCAGCAAGGAGCATGCCCTTATCCTTCAAGTCAAACTCGAAAAGATCTTCACTCCCATCGATGCGCGCTGAACATACAACTCTCCAATCATTTTCCACAACACCTGTAGGCAACAACGACAGTGACTCGCCCGCCTTGATCGCCGCGATCTGCAGGCCCTGGATGTGTAGTGGGTCGTGGTCGAGCGATAGTGTCTGGCCGACGATGATGGTAAGATGTTGGCTTTGGTCACTCATGGGTGACTGATTCAAACTTGAGTAGCGTGTGTTCTGGGGACCGATGAAGCGGAGGTCGACTGTTGCATATGCTGGTGAGGGTGTGGGTGCTGATGCCGCCAGAGCAAGGAAGGTAGTGAAGACAGCGAGGTAGGATGAGAACATCATGTTCAAGTTACGATCGATGGTTTGGGAAGTTGGGAGGATGCGGGTGTCGTGATTCGCCCGGTGCTGCTGAGGATTACTATCGCGGTAAATCGTGAGTGATCAGTACGCGTGTGCAGAAGTACTGAAGGATTGAACTGAGGTTGTATTGAACTAAGCAGTGTGTTTAAATAGGGTGAGGACGAGGAGGTTTGACCATGAGACTGTTGTGTTACTATAATTGTTTGACGGAGTATCATACTGGCCCGTTTATACTCAACCTTACTGTACTGATCAAACTGTACTGCGACAGTTATTCTTATGTGTGAGAGGGGGCCAGCTGGGGATACCAACTGCTCTCTAAGATGGATGAATTGGTGAAAGGAAGGTTCAGGCTTGTTGAAGATAAGGGTGTGGAAAAGACCAAGTGTAAGAATACCACAAAATCCAACATGAGCCATAGGAAGCCAGCGGCTACAGGTGGGTCTTGCGTTCTATGTATGTTATGTTGTCAGCCTCACATTGGCGCTTGGGCTGTTTCTGGCTTTGGTGGTGCCGGGGGCCTTGAGCTGTCCACCGCAAATCGTGACTATGCCGAGCTCTCATGTTTAGCATTAAGGTGGACAATAACACCCAGACCATTGAGCATTGCCAAAACCAAAACAATGAACCAAACCAAATGAAACTGTAACGGGGTTACAGTGCTGTAGTGAAGTAGGCTGTCATGTATTGGGACAATGGCGCTAACCCATCGGGACGCTAGCGTGGTGCGGGCAAGAGCACAAAGATAATTGGGCACACAATGGCCAGGGAACGGTAGCAATTAATCTTACAAGACCACCTCCCATTGCTACTGAGCTTGCTGTCACAGATACCCTTACAGAAATACACCCAATCCATAGATTTTTCTTCTTATTTTTTGTGCCTAAGATGTCTGATGAACCAGCCATTGTTCACAAGCGTTTCAGGCGTCACTCTAAAATATCACAATGTGCAGCCATCCTGTTATGATCCTACGTCCTGCGATAGGACAATGGGTAATAAGTAACCACCAACCAAACATGGAAGCCTGGGGAAAGGTGCAGCACGGCAAGGCTACCCAGCCAACGCCTGAGGGATGCTCTTGGCCGAGCAGTCACATGAGTGCTCGTCAACAAGCGCAGTCACATGAGTGCTTGTCAACAAGCATCATACAATACTTGTCAATGAGGCGCAATCTATCCGGATTGGCCAGGACCAACTCTGCTTGTCAATGAGCAGATCTGGTGGACTGTATATAAGCATGTAGGAACACAACCCTTATGGTTTGTGTTCAACCTTGTCAATCAAGTTTGTCATTGGATCTCAATCAACCTTCGAGCTAGACAGATTGCCTGTACTACTCATTGTTACCCCAAGCCATTGTTAGGTGTTTCACCCAGGTGACTTACCCCTACTGTTCCAGAACCAGAGCTCATCCTTGAGAACCAATTGAATAGTACTTACAAGCTTTGCTTAAAGTACGACTTCAACACATCCTAGGAGTTCTCTACTTCTGTGATGTGCTACATGTACCTTGCCCTTATGAAGACATTTATAAGGTCCTTGAAGCCCCTCCTACTACTGCCAAATGCATAGCCTATTCCCATGATCCAAAGACTCTCCCTCACAGCAACAGACCTGGTACTTGTGGTGCCCATTGCCAACTTAAAGGTGCTGAAGCCCACAGTATTGTTGATTACCTAGATGATTGTGGGTTTGAAAAGATCACAGAGACATGGCAGGACATTCAAATTTGAGCAGCAGTAGTGGCTGTTACGATCAAAGGGCAACCTGCAACAACACTGAACAAACGGGACTACGCAACAATACGAGAAGAGCCAAGGAACTGTAGGTGTTGGCAATACTCAGTATGATCATCACTCTCAGTGGAGCAACTCAAGCAACCCAAGCAGTAGGCCGTTGTTGAAGTCGTACTTTGAGCAAAGCTCGTAAGCACTATTCGATTGGTTCTCGAGGATGAACTCTGGCTCTGGAACAGTAGGGGTAAGTCGCCTGGGTGAAACACCTAACGACGGCTTGGGGTAACAATGAGTAGTACAGGCAATCTGTCTAGCTTGAAGGTTGGTTGAGATCCAATGACAAACTTAATTGACGAGGTTGAACACGAACCATAAGGGTTGTGTTCCTACACATATATATACAGTTCATCAGATCTGCTCGTTGACGAGCAGAGTCGGTCCTGGCCAATCCGGATGGATTGCGGTTTGTCAACGAGCATCGTACCATGTTCGTTGACGAGCATCACGTCATGCTCGTTGACGAGCACTCACGTGACCTTGCTCGTTGACGAGCTCTGTCACGTGTGTCAGCTCGGCTGAGAGCAATCCCCTAGGCGCCGGCCGGGCGGCCTTGTCCTGCTGCGCCTTCCCCCAGGCCTCCGTGTTTGGTTGGCGGACTTATTGCTTGTTGTCCTATTGTGGGATGTAGGATCGTAACAGCCTAGTGGCAGTGCCAATCCATCCCCACACACACACGCTACAAGCGTCACCCAGGCACGATTACCATCTTGAGTAGTTGCTGTAACCTCCTTCTTCTCCCACATACGTCTACTGAAGACGTGCTTGGTCCTGGTGGTGACTCCAATCATAAAGCCCTTCTCATCCATATTGTATGTGTGCTCAGCATCAACGTCGTATTGGGAGATTTTGGACTGCAACAGGTTGAAATAGAGCTTGTACTTGGTATACAAATCGGCGTTGTGGCGATTGCTGTCCATACCTGTT